AAGTTCTTTCATCGTAATGAGAAGTGATGTTTGTTACATTCCCCATAATAGCTCCCAGCCATACATTATCAGATTAGTATTTATTTAGAAGTTTACAAAACTTTTTAAGTGCTTTTTTACAAACCTTTTCAACTTTTTAAAACTTTTCAACTTTTTAAATTTTCAGTAAGAACGATGACCTTAATCTGAGTTTTTTGTTCGCAAAGACTAGAAAGATGGCAAAAAGGTCATCGAACAGATTGGAAGATATTTAACTCATTGCATTTTATTTTATATTTTGTAGCCGTCGTTGAAAAGCCAACACAATTATGAGTCAACGTGACCCCTGTTCAACTCCGTAGTCTTGTATTTTTGAACCGAATACAGAAGACAAAAGGACTTCTGAATCAATTGTGAGAAATTTGATTTCATGGAGGACTTTTTGATGAAATTAACCCGCACCAGCGTTACATGGAGAGAACAACTGCCTCCAACGATTAGTCTGACTGCGAGGGGACTCTAACCCATGATCCGTTTACCGCTGAGGATATTTTACGTTAGTACTGTGTCGGTGGGAGCCAGGTGCGAAATTCATATCGATCAGCCATCGCTGGGATTCAAACCCGGGAAACCTCATAGGTAGGCGAACGCTCTATCCCCTGAGCTACCACGGCTCATTAAAAGTCCTTTTTTGTATTAAAAAAAATGGAATTTTATTTCAAAAATAAAATCCGAAATTCTTTTACTTGCTGACCCAATAATTATTAGCTACAATTTCGAGTTGTCCAGAAAAGCGTATTTTAAGAGTATTTCTGAGAAAAAACAACAAGAGTGCCACGTAAGCAATAAGACGTTTCTGCATATTCCACTGCCTTTTAATAGAATACCGAAGGCAGCACGGATCTGGGAACAATACTAACAGTTTGATGGAAAAATGTCTGCTTAGTAAGAAATGTAGCTTATTATTATTAGATCCTCAAGCCTCTAAATTAAAAAATAATCACCCCTTAAACTTTTAAAGTCAGTATTACGGCTGCAAAATATTTGTAATTTATTCAAATTCTACATAATTAATTGAGAGAAATTCCATACGTTTAATAAAATGAAAACACATTCACAGAATCGAATAGAATTTGAAATTTGGCCCAACTGTATTGTGTAATTCAATAAATGAAAGGAAACTACTTACTTCATGCCATAAGTTCTTTCATCGTAATAATCCAAGGACTCTTGCACAAGATTGATGTTGATGAAGCCTTGGATTACAGCGATCACCAAAGTCAAAAAGAGCTTGACCAGATGGGACAGATGGGTCATTACAGTTAGACCTATTAGTTCCAGCACTGTGAAGTACGTGAGGTACTGTGGGAAGTTGTGGGTCAACCATGTCTGACTGGTGCTGGTTACAATGGGTGGAGGTAGAGTTGAGTTGCTTCGATTGCTGCTGATGTTTTGAAGAGGATTTACGTAAGTAGACATCACATTGGAAGGCCATGACCAACTGTTGTCATAATCCTAATTGAATAGTTGAAGTTGTTAAGAAATATCCATTTTATTTTTACAAAAGCTTTTCAAAGGGTGTTCTCTAATTAAAACCCCTCGTGCTCTCTAATTAAAACCTAAAAAGGGATCGTGATGCTAAAAGGGAACAAATCAGGGTTCCCGAGGATTCTAAAAAATTAATAGTGGTTTTAAATCTACGTTAATGCTAGCATGAATCCTAGGATTTTATACGAATTTTATAGTAAAATTTATTGGTTTTTAAAAAAAATAACCCAGGATTGGTCTCAAACGTAATAAATGTTTAAGGATTGTTTCAGTACGCTACCATTGTTTAATACTTCTTAAACCCATGCGAACTCTGATCATTAACTTGTCGGTCACTTTTGACAGTATACTTAGGATATATTTTTAGAAACCGTGTCGAAAATAAAACAAAGTATTTTACTCAAAAGGAGCTAAAAATGAATGTTTTAGTGAAGGAATGGAAGAGTTATACAAATTCGAAGAATCATTCCAAAAAAGGGAAATGTAAATACTCTAAAGCAATTTCTATAGTTTCGTAAACAAATAGTTATGCAAATGAACAATTTACAACAGTAAATAAGCAGTAAACAGTAAATTGCAAAATATTCTATATTTCCTTGATTTTTGAGTGGTTAATTTTCTTTTGCTTCGTGTAGTTATGTAAATAAACAATTTACAACAGTTGTATATTATAAAATATTCTATATTTCCTTCATTTTTGACTGGTTAATTTTCTTTTTGCTTCATTACAATGACACATGTTGGCAAAATTTAAAATTTATAGAAACCTTGACCACGCGATCTACACTGTAAAAAATTGCGAATCAAATTACGATAAAAAAAAGTACCACTTCTCAGTGTGCTGATACTTTTTACTGTAAAATCTATATTCATCGGAACATGTTACGTAAAAAATATTCTGATATACCGTAATTTTTACAGTGATAATTACTGTAAAAAACACAAAATCGCGCTATTTAAATAAATATAACTGAAAAAATTAAGGTATAATATATTTAAGGGTAAAAATGGATTTTAGGGTAAAACGGATTTTACGAATGATATACCCAAAATACCGGTACTTTATTCCATAACTTGATCCAGAATTTTTTGAAGTGTACCTAGCATATTTTTGAAGATCCTTTCGGATCAATATGATTGAACATGAGCTTCGAGGCTTTGAAAATCGAAAGTTAATCGATCTGTGATTTTGGTTTCCAACGAATTTAATTTTACACAATGAAATTAAGGCATCAAGCATACTAAAAAGTAATACATTTAATTTAAATATATTTGATTCAAACTTACAGTTGATAGAACATGAACGACGCACCAAACCATGACCATGATAAATATTACGCCCATTCGCAATCCTGGTTTTTCTATGATTTTATTGCACATGCGCACTAATCCAGGAGGGCCAGCCTGAAAAGAAAACGTGATTGCATTTAATTAGTGCCTTTCTGAAATTAAATTATTTACACTATGATTCTTCATACAGTGAAACCTCTCGGAAGCGACCACTCTCTGTTCCACAGTAAAATGGTCGTTAATGGAGGTTGGTCGTTTTTAGGGGTTGAGTTCTGAGAGGTTGGTTGTTCTTAGGGTCATTTTCGTGGCGCGGAAATGGCACTTGTGTTGGAATTATGGAACCAGAATCTATGAATAAAATTTAGCGTCAAATAAAATGATCCTTACTGATATAATTATGGGTAAAATAAATTTACCAATTATGAATAATAGAACAATTTTAAATAATTTAAAAATTATTTTTTTGTAGTTTAAATTTGCATTTAATTTTACATCATAAAAATTTATTAGCTTTAAAAGAAGATTAGAGGTTTGTTTGTTTAAGATGCTTGGTTTTTTCAAAAATAACTTTTTTTTCTAATTTAACTTTCAATTCTAAAAATAAGTAATTGATATCGTCATCTGTAGTGCAATCTGCCGTCAACATGTGGTCCCTTTCAAAGATCGTAAAAAAAGAAGCTATGTTAAAAAAGGGCTCACAAAATAAGAGCCTCAAGCAAGTATTTTGGATATATTTTAATCTACTTATTTGCTTTGTTAATATTTCTTTCCTTCGATATTTTTTCGTGTTTCCTTATTTGACCTTTTTCGAATTTGGTGCAAAGATTTGCCCGGTCGCTGGAAGAGGCTTTGATGGTCTCTCTTAAAGGTTTACTTTAAGACCAAGTCTATGGAAAATAATCCGTGTCGCCTAAAAGTGCTCGTAAATAGAGGAGGTCGCTACATAGAGGTGTTCTTTCCTAGAAGTTTCACTGTATTATATGAGATAATTATGTTATTCAATGTATGAGCAAGTTTACATTAGTTGACTAATTTTTGTGTAGAAAATATACTTCTAAGAAGTCAGTGTTAGATAAATGCTTTGTCAAACACACTATTTTGATTAACTGATTATAGCATAATCAGTTAATCAAAGCAATATGTTACACCGCAACATTATTATCACTACTAACTAACTAACTAACTCAGTGGCGCGACAGCCCATTAAGAGGGCCAAGGCCGACTGTGCCCATCTCAGTTTTCTTGACCTTGGGCTCTGGGGTGCAGGAGCATATGTTCCGGTCAGGTGGTCAGCCGAACGCGGAACCCCCAGTGTTAGTTCCCAAGCATGCTTGGTACTCATTTTATCGACCCACTGAAGGGATGAAAGGCTGAGTCGGCCTTGCCCGGCCCAAGGATCGAACCAAGGACCTGTGGCACGACAGCGCGAAGCGCTACCGCTCACAAAGTTTAAAACAGATCAACACAAGAAAACACACTACACAAAGTTTAAAACAGGTCAAAAAATTGTATTATAAAAGAAGTTTTGTATGTAATGCTGATATTGCTAGAAAATATATCCTGACGAGATATCAATACTACGTTACTTGCAGGTATACCATTATAAGCAATAAAAATTTTTAGCACTTATTTATTTCATTTAAAAAACTATATCTCAAGAATCACTAAATCAAAAGTAAAAGTAAGTGCATATTAAAAAAATATAAAAGCTGTTAAAATTTAAAAACTAAATAATTAATCTTTCAAAAAGAATTTTTTAGTTTTAAATTGAGAAATATTCTCCCTCATGCAAAGATGAAATAAAAAAAAATTAAATGCGGAATTTATTAAAGAGTTTAATTATGAAAAAAAATGACTTGGGATTTAAAAAGTCAAAAGTATAATTACTTATAAATTCATATTCAATTATTCAAAAGTATAATAATTATTTCTGCTTGATGTTTTCCATTTTTTATGAATCCTGAAATTCAATAATCCATGTCTATCTGCTTGATTTATTTCCATTTTGTTTTAGTTTTCCTTGTTTCACTTAAGAAATTGTTAAGTCTTCATAAAAAAATGAATATGTTGAAAGAAAACTGTTTTAAGAGTTTTATTTTGAAACTAAGGTAAATTTAAAAGACTAGCAATGATTGCAAATTGAAACCGTCAGTTAATGACATTGAAAATGTTATTGTGTTGACATTGATAATGTGTTGACATCGAAATGTGCGAGTAATTAATTAAGTATGTTCAAATTATTACTAAATAATTTGAATGTTTGCTTGGACAATGACAAAACTGGAGGAAAATTGTGTCGCAATATTTGAGAGAAAGATTTTGCGGAGTATACTTGGTGGTGTAAATGAAAACAATAACTGGAGAAGGAGATTTAACTTTGAACTGTATAAAATTTCTAAGCAACCCGATATTATTAAATATATAAAAATAAGTTTGATGACCCACGTGATTGGAATAAGCGATGGCAATACAATAAAAAAGATACTGCTTTTTAGACCCAGAAAGAGGAGAAGGTAGTGGTTGAGATAGGCTAACTCAGTGGAGTCTGATTTTCTTGCAATTAATGAAAAGAATAGGAGATCAAAGATAAATCGGAAGTCGTAATGCAGAAATCTTCAGAGGATGGCATAGGCCCACATTGGGCTGTCTGGCTAACTATGATGATGTATAATCAATCATTCAAATTGAAAAAAAATTTTTTTAGTTGAAAACCTTGGTTTTTAGTTTGATGAATTTTAATTCTTTGTTATTTAGAGCAACTGCGAAGCTAATTCTTAAACTTCTAAGTTTAAATTTTTTTAGTTTGCTAAGAACTATTGTTGCAGAGTTTTTTCAGATGAAGGTTTTAAATAAGTTTACACGTTGTTCTTTTTGCGTGTAAGGAAATGAAAATGATCCCGTTCCTACATTTCTGGTCAGTAAGCTTGTATCGAGATTAATCTACAAATCCCCAAAACTTACTTGAACAGTTTGCGTCTTAGCTTTCGCACTATTAACATTTTTCATATACGTCACAGAGAGAGGTTTTCTGTGGTTCTCGTCTACAGTCCGTGGCCAAACACAATGGGGACTTTCTTATAGTTCAAAAAACTTAAAAACTATCACTTAGTATCTTCCACTGAGATCTATCCACTAAAATCCTTCAAAAATATTGACTTGGCAAAATAAATCAATGCTGGGAAATTAAATTAAACTAACTTAAGATCTTCTTTTCCTAAGACCTTCCGTTTGAATCTTTTTTTCTTAGGACCTTCACTTAGAATCTTCATCCACTGAAATCTTCGAAATTTATCGAAGTGGCAAAATAAATCAATGCTATGAAGTCAAATTAGACTAACATAAAATCTTTTCTCAAGAAGAACCTTTTTCCTCGGACCTTCATCCACTAAAATTTCAGTTATGTTAAAATGATGTATAGATCGTATATTTTTTAAAAATGGCAATTAAATATGCTTTCTATTTTTAAACAAAAACATCTTCTTTTGTTTCTCATAATGTAATTTTTCCTATTTTTTAAAATTTTCTAGCGGTTTTATACTATTTTTATTGTTCTATAGCATTAATAAAACTGGCAAGGTAAGCTATGCGCATTTTAAAATTAGTCATAAAACTAAAATATCAAAATAGTTTGTATGATTTATTATGCCATCACTTTATACAAATTACTTTAATTATTAAGGATAACAGAATACATAATGTCTTTATTTACCAACAATTAATTAAAAGAATACAATACAATGTCATAAAGGATGATGAAATTTTTTTTCCTGGGCCATTTTATTTAAAGTGAAAGATAATTATGTAAAACTTTCGTTGTTTACAGAATACCTCAAAAACTTGTGGAAAATTCTTCTTTGTATGTTAAAGATACGCATAGAGTTGACGTAATATAGAACAAACAAAAAGGGATTTTCACGTAAAAAGGATTACGAGTTAATTAATCGTAGATAAAAACAGAAAAAGCGTCAAACCATGAAATTCATTACCTAGGCTTTCTAAATAATGATCTTGGTTGAAATTTCGAACAAAAAAGAATTTTAAAAAATGATACTTTAAACTTTTTTTTATATTTTTATTTAGTCATATGCTTTAGGGTATATTGTTGGTGTATTCTAATCTTTTTCAGAAATATAAAGATTTAAAAAAATTTATTTTTTAAACTGAAAACCTTTTTGACTGTATCTTATAGAGACAAAATTAAATTAGAAAAAAAGGAAACAGAAGGTTTTGAAATAAAACTTCAATTTGGTGACATTTTGGATCAACTTATCACTCATTATTTGCTACAATTAAAAAGATATGTTATTATTATTATTATCTATGCCACCTCCAACAATTTACAAGATTTCAATTATTATTAGACTATACATGTTTTTTTCTGGTGTTGGGATGATACGTTTCTTAAACAGGGTGTCCAGTGGAATATTAACTGATTTCTAAATTAAAAAACTAGGAAATAAACAAAATCAAACAAGATGTCTATTGTAAAATCTATAAAAAAAATTTATACAGTAATTTCAGAATTTATTAACAAAAGTGGACAACAGATGGAGCTGTATGCTGTACACAGTTCTTGAAAAAATTACAAATGCCATAGAATTGTTATCGAACATGTGATAGTCTTAAACCTAAATCATACGTTATGCAATAGAATGGATAAATAGTTAAAGCCTCTTAATCTCGCACGTCAATATTCTTTCACATTTGCTAGATTGTTCTGGTCATCAATGGTTTCCAGCGCCATCTATTTTAAACTTTCCTAACTAAGTACTCACTTCTCACTCATCCACAGTCTTTTCTGTAGTAGAAAGGATTATTTTTCTGTACATGATGCTCGTGCTGTGAAAGCAATATAAATTTATTTTTACCTTATGTTGTTTGATGTACCAGAATGGATTGTTTGTTTCTGACTTGACTTTGCAGCATGTCTGTTTTATTAATACTCATTCTTTTACATGTATAATTACAGTCTTTTACACGATAATCAGTCCTTTGCATTTATAAGACTTTTAAAATTCCTAAATATATCATGCACTGTTTGTTGTGCTGAGTTATTTAATTCTGGTATGTATTGCTTATTGTGCTAACTTATTTATTTTTAGTATGTATTGATTGTTGTGCTGACTTATTTATTTCTGATATGTATTGTTTGTTTTGCTGACTTATTTATTTCTAGTATGTATTATTTTGTTGTTCTAACTTATTTATTGCTAGTATGTAATGTTTTCTGTGCTATCTTACTTATTTCTAGCATGTATTGTTTGTAGTGCTGTCTCAGTTGACTTATTTATTTCTAGTATGCATAGTTTTTTTGATGACTAATTACATACTAATGAGAAATTTGTTTGTACCGAAGGCTTACTTGATACTAGAATTATTTGTTTTGATGACTTATTTATTAATAATGTGTTCTGTTAGTTCTCATAACTTCATTTCTTATAATTACGTCTTGTTTGTTCTAAAGACTGTTTTATTACCAACTTGGGTCATATCTATTAATTTACGCTGAATCCTGCACAAGTAATATATTTTTTGCCATGATTATCTTAGCTTTCATGTTGAAAAAAAATTATTATATTTTGTAATTTTAAATTTTTTTTTTAAACGTGGTAATATTTCTTGATCGAAGATTGCATTTAATGTATTACTAAGAAGAAGAAAAAAAAACTTTCGGGCCTCTTAATTGACCAATAATTATATAAACAAAGAATTTAAAACAACATACCTTAAGCCCAGCTGGGACTATACATATAATGGTGATTATTATGAGTAGTAAAGAACCAAGAGGAAGGCATATGAGAGCAAAAGAGCTTCTGAAAAGAAATGTATTTATTGATCATTTCAGAAGAAATTAATAACTTGTATACTAATTAGATTGAGTGTTAAATATAAGATTTCAATCAGTAATCTTATATTTAACATATATCAATCAGTAATCTTATGTTAAATATAAGATATCAATAAAGTTTATGTATAGTTCTAATAGTAGGGTTTTCTAAATCAATTTGCCGCACAATCTTCATAAATTCACATTTTTTCTGCTATCCCAACGAAATCACTCAAAGACGATTATTTTAATAATTAGACTTAATCTAACCTGTATGAAGCAAAATTCGCACCTGCAAGTTTAACAAAAATTATACACGGAAAGTTTTTATGCTGTGTTAATTAGTATTTCCGACAATAATACCTAAAAAAATTTGAACCCATGTCCTAGAGTTCGTGGGTTCGAACTCCGTCGGCCGAAGACTCCCCGTGTAGTAAAGTGACTGATGTACGTTAAACCTGTCGAGTCGCAAAAGTCCTCCATGTTCCCGTAACAAATCAATACCTCTGGGGGTACTGGATTGGAGATCGATCGTTCTTTGATTCAGGTCAAAATTACGATCTGTGGATGAATGAATGGATGCATGAATTGGTTCGCCCTATAAACGGGTGAGACGTATGGTGTGGCAGAAGTCGAATTCTTGGCCATAGATGGGGCCACTGAAAAACAAGAAACGCTCACTCTGTCTTAAATTTGCTCGGTTTCACCAAGCAGGCTTGCCCGTGTGGTAAGTGGCATTAGAACCAACCAACCGAAATTTGAAGAAAGCCCGCAATAGCATAAAGCCAAGTTAACAATTATTTGTTTTCTTCGGTTTTTATTCAATTTTTTTTTTATTTTTTCGATCAAATTTCAGTTTAAAAACTAATTTCAAAATTTTTGAAAATTAATTCTCTTTAGTTAGATCTCCACAGACCCCTTTTTTCAGTTTCTGACTATAAAGTTTTTTGACAGTTCAGAAAATCCCAATTTGCAGCTATTAAACACACCAATGTTTTTCTGTTATCCCAATTCAGCGGTGCACAAGCCATAGGCTATGGACAACAAAGGACCCATGGGCAATGTGGTACTGGGTTGTGGTTGCTTGAAACTAAATCTATTAAGTTTCAATCCAGATATTGACTCTCTCACATTACCGACACAGTTCGGCAATGATACTCTGTCGAGGGATCAAGTATTCAAATGGCAAAGTTATTAAAAAAAAGCCGTGAACAAGTTGAAAACTTGTCTCATGCTCTACGACCAAGAGCGAGACTTAAAACAGAAAAAAATAACTGAATTTGTGACCTTATTCAAAATTACTGACGAAGGAAAATTCGAGAAATCAGCGTTAGAACACAGATGAGTTACGAAAGTATGCGAAGCATAATTCATGATGATTTGGAACCTCGAAAAATCTCAGCCAGGTGGGTGGCTAGAATTTTGAACACAAATCAAAAGGATGCAAGAAAGGATATTAGTCGAGAGCAGCACAAAAACACAGTTACACAACAAAAGTTACAGTGCTCTCTAATTACAAGCAAAAACATATTTTGGTATTTATTCTTATAAATAAAAGAATAAATTAATTGTTACTAAAAAATCTTATAGATTATCGGAATTACATTTGTACTAAAATTAAAAAATCCCCCAAAAAAAGTAGCTTGCAATTTTTTTAAAAATTCATATTAAAAAATTTATTAATAATTGATTTTGTAAATTAAAAAAATTTCAATGATGAATTGTTGTTTTTCTTAAATTTAAATAAGTGCAAACTTGAAAAATTATAACTTGAAAGTGAGCTGTATTTGAAAGATTTTACATTCAACGCAGAAAAAGACACCCGTGTTTAATGTATTTCATAACCAGACATTATTAAAATTGCTTAATACAGGGTTGTTCATATAATTCCCTCCGGGGTTTCGAAGCGTTATAGTAAAAAAGACGAAGACGAATATGACAAAAAAGAACATATGAATTATTCCGAAAGTATTTAAGTTTTTATTCAAGCAGTAGCCGGTAGATGGCAGTAACATGTACCACTGAAGCCGGTTGTAGTAAAGAAAATTGGCGTTTACAGGCGGAGGGAATTATGAATAACCCTGTATAATATTTCTCACTTATTTTCACCCAAACTAATACAAAATAATGAAAAAATCATGAAAAATATGTTCAATAAAAACCAAAGAGTTAATTAAACAGAGAAGTAAAATAATTACCCTGACATGACTAGAAAATAAGCAGCAGTACAGAAAACCAAAATTAGAGGTAGCCCAGAAATTGATACTACACTGACGGTATCTTTGATCTTTCGGAATTCAGTTTCTAATTTCGGCTCCTTGAAGAACAAAGTTAAGGGATTGGCTTGCTGTCTTATGTGACTGAAAGAAATGAAAAAAAAAAAAAGAAGTAAGAAAAATCATTAAGTCTACCGTCAAACTTTACTTCGAAAGTCAAACATTAGACGATAAGGAAAATGGGTGAAAATCGTATCAAATGTTAAAAGTTTTAGTGACGGAAAAAAAATTCTTTTTTGGAAAGGCACACCAATAATTCAATCACGCGAAATTAAATTTGCTTAGTTCTTGAAGTTCGCGAAAATATCCACTAAGACATCTAAGTGCAAGTTTTTAGTTGCTTTTTCTTTTTCAGATTAAAGATTTATGATAGTAAGGTGAATGGTTAATGCCTGTTATTCTAAAGTCAATTTAGTTCGAAAAGTCGAGAGAAACCGTTCTTAATTTGTTTATGGTTGCAACACGTTATTTATTTAATCGTTAAACGCTGACTTAAAAAGAAATAAATTTTCATATATATGTAGTTTTGTATATTATCAGTGTAATAATGGGTTTTGTATTTATAAACAGGCGGATATTGTAATTTATAAAACAACGTAAGTGCTTTACGATTGATTCCGAGAAAAGAAGGCTTGACAACTATTTTCCTTCCATTGTTAATGCGACGAATGCTAAAACAGAAAAACTGATAAAACAAAATTTATTTATTTATTTATTATTTTTTTTTGAAATATGTATCTTACCTACAAAGATGCCAAATATATAAAAGTCTCAATTTTGAAATTTTTGTCGCTTATGTTGATTTTTCAATTGCGCTGCAGGTGAGTTTATCGAGATAATATGTTTGAAAAATATTTATGGATTATTTTTTAAATAGTATATTTTTAATAATTTGAAAGAGCGCCGGGATAGCCTGGTTGATAGGGCTCTGGGTCCATGTCCAAGAGGTCGTGGGTTCGATTCCCGCCGGCCGAAGACTCCCCGTGTAGTAAATGGTGACTGATGCACGTTAAGTTCGTCGTGTCACAAAGTCCTCCATGTTCCCATTACAAATCAATACCCCTGTGGGGTACTGATCCAGGAGTTTTTTTGTCTTCTGTATTGGGTTCAAAGTTACAAGGCTACGGAGTTAACAGTAGTAGTTGTAAACCCAAAAATTGAGTCGGCTGTTCAATGATTTTAATAAAATAAAATAATTTGAGAGATATCGCCAAGGAAGAAGTATGTATTTCAATATTTTTGTAAATGTAACCTGTAAATAAAATAGTGCAATGAATTTTTAATATTATTTCAACCCTTCGATGGGTCTTTTATTTCTTGTAAAGGTAAATTAAACTACATTTGGAATTGAAATTGATATAAGAAGAAAAACTCATTCAGCTTATTACGCCATTTTCGGATAAGTATGTCACCATGATAAGTATGCTTACCAAGACCCATTAGGTTTATAAGAACGTAAATAACTTACTGACTTAAATTTTTTTTTAATATTTAAAATAAATTTTATTAACCTTTTGCATTCCGATGTCGTCTCTAAGGCACCATCAACAGTCACCACTCTAAAATTAAAAATTTTTATACCCAATAATTAGTAACCACATTATTATAAGAATCTTAAAAATTATAAAAAAATACTGTATTGTGTATCTTAAATGATTTAGTGCTTGCATAAGATTAAACAGCTTATTAAAGTACTCGGAGTGCAAAGGGTTAAGGATCGAAGATTTAGATAAAGGTATTAAAGACTCTAGATTAAGAATACTTTTTAACTAAAGATTTATAATAGTAAAGGAAATGGTTAATCGTTTAAAGATGGTTATGGTAATTTACTTTTAGATTAAAGATTTATCATAGTAAGGAGAATGGTTACCCATGAGCTAAACAGTCACAAAGTTAATGTTGGATTAAGGTATTAAAGGTTCTAGATTAGGAATACTTAACTAAAGATTTATAACAGTAAAGGAAATGGTTAATCGTTTAAAGATGGTTATGATAACTTACTTTTGGATAAAAGATTTATAATAGTAAAGAGAATGGCTACCCATTTGCTAAACAGTCACAAAGTTAATGTTGGATTCAGGTATTAAAAACTCTAGATTAAGAATATTTAACTAAAGACTTATAATAGTGAAGGAAATAGTTAATCGTTTAAAAATGGTTATGATAATTTGCTTTTAGATTAAAGATTTATGACAGTAAAGGGAATGGTTACCCATTAACAGTCACAAAGTTAATGTTGGATTAAGGTATTAAAGGTTCTAGATTAAGAATACTTAACTAAAGATTTATAATAGCAAAGGAAATGGTTAATCGTTTAGAGATGGTTATTATAATTTACATTTGGATTAAAAATTTATCACAGTAAGGAGAATGGTTAATTCTAAACCCATTTTGGTTTAGAAAATCGCGTGAAACTGTTCTTACAGTTGAAAGACGTATTTTATTTATAAGTTGAAAGCTAACTTATATTGAAGTTGCAGAACTTTCAGTTGAATAATAGGGTTTTATATTTATATTTATTATGATAGACACGTGAAGATGAGGCTATAGATCTAGTAATATTAAGAAAGGAAACTGTGATTTTTAATAAGAAATATTCAAAATTAGTTTTTTTGAATCAGTTTTTTAGATAGTAACACGTTTTTAGTAGACGGACAGCAGTTGTTTAGACCCTTGTAAAGAAGTATGTCATTTTAATTTTATGTATGTGTTATCACTAATGTGCACAACTCAGTTATTCTGCAGATTGCATAGTTAATTTGCAGAGAGCCATTTTTTACTCAAATTTATGAGTCGGTGATCGATATCGATGCCTTCTTTTCCTTTAATAGCCACTTCTTGAGCCGCGATGGCTAGAGTGGATAGAGCGTTCAACTTCCAATGCGGCGAACCGGGTTCGAATCCCAGTTGATACAAATTCCTCAACCGGCTTGCGCCGACCACAGTTCTGACGTGAAATATCCTCAGTGGTAGACGAATTGGGTTAGAGTCCCCTTGCCGTCAGGCTAACTGTGGCAGGTTCTCGTGGTCTTCCTCTCCATGTAACGCAAATGCGGGTTAGCTCCATCAAAAAGTCCTCCACGAAGGCAAATTTCTCCCAATACTTGATCCAGGAGTTCCCTTGTCTTCCGGATTGGGTTCAAAATTACAAGGCTACGGAGTTGAACATTAAGGATTAATTTGTAATTCTCATTCTTCTTGATCACACAATATCTCCAAATTTGCAAACGCTATACTGAATCACTCAGTATCACACATAATATATATATTATATCTATTATATATAATAGATATATAATAGTATATATAATAGTATGTATATAATAGTATATATACAATAGTATATATATATCTCCCTATACTTAACCTAGGAGTTCCCTTGTTTTCTAGATTGGTTTCAAAATTACAAGGTTAAGCATTAGTAGTCGTAAATCCAAAAAATGAGTTGGTTGTTCAACGACGGTTATAAAATATAAAATAAAATTTGTAATAGAAAAATTCGCAAACATTCATTGTTTAAATCAAAAGAAAAGAAAAGAAAACATTTTAGCTATCTCGGCAGATTACATTACAGAAAAAAAGAGCATTACTTTATATTGAAAAAGTCTTAACAATAACAGAAATAAATTTGCTGATAGAAATGCCAACAATGTCTGCAAATGTATGACACACAAACATTCACGGCATCATTTCCGAACGGCGTAGTGTTCCTTTATTTACAAAACATTTTGCATCTCCAGAAGTAAACATAAAACAACAAAGGCATCAGTGAAGTAACAACAAAACTAATTTGGCTTCAGGTGCAAATAAAATTCAACGAGAATATCATTACCTTTTCGTGTCTCTTCCAAGGAGCTCTTCGTGCAATCGTGCCTTGTAGTCCTCTTCGAAATTTTTGTCACTGTCACCCGTCAGTTTGGATAACTCGCCCTGAGGGAAAACAAACGCATTTATTCTATTGATTTGTTTTCGGAAACAGAGAATTTCTGAGGAAAAAAAATCCTAACATTCTCAGATCTCAGCATAATGGAGTTTTTTTTTTTTTTAGAGAAGAATTCTTGTAGATGTACTGCATGTCAAACAATCAGGAGAATCGTATTGACTTCCGTTATAGTAGACTCAATTCATACATTTCTATTCTGTAGTAAAAGCATTTTTTATTTTATTTTCAAACTTTAATTTTTAAGTATTAGTACCAAATGCATTAAATAGATCTGCCATCAATAGTAATGTATTCCTGAGTTTAACAGTGGTATACATTAAATGACATGTACCATAGATAAGAATTCTAAATGCGCAGATCTTTTTGTCTTTTTCAGAAAGTGAAAGAATGGACGAAGAAGCAGGTGTGATATTTTAAGAAGTCATAAATCAGGGAAAATAACGCTAAGTGGTCGTATTAATATGGGTATGGTAAATGCAACAGGATTATTTTTGCTTTCTCTTCAACTTAAAAATAACTGATCTACATAAGTTTTCGTTGAATGCCAAGCTAATTTTACATGGCTTACATGCCTGGCCAAACGGTAAATAACTACAAACTAAATTTGCAAATATTAGACAGATTTTGCTAGTTTTTAAAAGGTTTAGCATGACATATCTAGAAAAAGTGGTGAATAATATACGCCTACGAATTGTTTAGAAATAATGGTGGATAAAAATCTACTAAATTGAATTTATTAAACCAAGAATCACAATTATTTAACTACCACTTGAAAATATTTACTCGCTGTCGCAAGTAAGTTGGCATCTCTGTGTATATAAACAAAACTATTTTTGCGAGTTCTATATCGCATTAATTTCTTCTAACCACTTTAGTAAAGATAATAATATAAAAAAAATTAAAAAGTTACTCGAATTATGTATGTGTTTCTAATAATCTTGGCTTAGTCGGTCACCGGTGACCCCCGAGGAGCTACGAACAAACTCAGTGACAGTCACCGGTGACCCTCATGGCATTCAACGTGTTAAGCATACTTATTTAAGATTTTTTTAAAAAAAATTAGGTAGTGATAAATAAAACAAGACAAAGAATTATTAGCATGATCTTCTAATAAATCTATAATAAAATAGCTCGGATGCCATTTTTCTTTTTCTTACCTTGATTATAGCCACTTACCTAGCTCATGCACTCAGCTCTGCATTTATGGGTATCTTTAAAGGCAGCTTTTTGAAGGCGCTGTTGTGATATGAAATAAAGTTTTTTTTGCTAATAACATGTTATTTTCAAAACTGCTGTGGGTTTGCAACAGTTATTTATGACTGTTTAGTAAATGCCAGCCTTTTAGTCAAATTAGCCAGCACACTCTAGGTTAATAATGCTTGTGACGCAAAACGTTGATCTTAAAAACCGCAATTTTGTTAGAATAAAAGCGTTTAGGATCTAATTTTTTAAAATTTAAAAAATACTCCAAAGCTGCATTACATGGGTGCATAAAAAAATTTCAAAATTAGAATTATGCATTGACTTTGATAATGTTCATTGTAGTGGGAGAATCTCGCCAAATCTACGATTTTTAAAAAAGGCTTACTAATTTTTAAAATATTTAAGTTATAGGAAATTCTTTAAATACTTTTCGAATTAATTTGCTTTCTGTAGCAGAATCTTTAGTCATTCATAACAGCATATAATGGAAATAATTTAATTCAAAAGGGATAAATTTAATATTGATTTTACTCAAAATTCTTGGTCCCGCAGTGGACTAATCGTTAAGACAATATTCAAAGTGCACTTATATGCAGATTCATGCGGGTTGTTTAAGCGTCTGAAAGGATCGAATTTACGATTCCCAGTTCCTCACCAGTAGTGTGAGTGATGTCTTTATCGACTGCGCAACCGGAGTCCCTTATGAGATAAAACTCCTCACATTTTTTTTCATCCTGATGATCTTTGCTGCTATCTTGAAGAAAACAAAGAGGAGTGTCNGGATTCGTGAGAAGCTCATCATCAGGGATGTTTCCCAGACCGTCGCCAATAGCCCATTGTGCAGCTCTAGTGCGACGTAAATTAACAACAACAACCCAAAATTCTTGAGTAGTTAAAAATTAACTGTTATATTTCAATTTCATGCAAGAACTCATGGAAGTAAATTAAATAAGCAAACCTTCGTAAACATATAAAATTGTTTAAATTGTCGCTGAAGTAATAGCAGTTGAACGATTCGTTGTCTCCTTTACTCTTATATGGCAAGCAAATAAAACATTAAAATAACATATGAATTCATGTTATTTTAATGTACTCGCCAATCTACAAAAACTCGATTCTTTTAATTAAACACCTAAAGACAAAAAAGTCCTCCTCACAATGAGATTAAGGCTTTAAACATTAATCCCTTCAAAACAAGGGTTATTTACTTGGAAGCCCCAATTGGAAGGACGTGAGACACATTTTGATTGGTGAATCCATAGGACAACATGCCAGTCAGTACTTGTCTTACTAATCTACTCAATTACCAGACGTAATCCGATTGGCTGAATGCATTTTCCTCATTCTTTCTCTAATTGAATTGTGATTGCTTTTGCTAGACCGCCAAACATGACAATGCAATAGTTTATTAATGTTTTATGGGCGTGGCCCCTACTATTTTTTTCGAAAGTTGAATTCAATGTGCTTGGTTTATACCGGATCAATGAAATATTTCAGTTAAAATAACTTCTTAACTAATTTTTAAATTGTAGTTCTATTTTTTAAAAAAAATTGTTTTAGTAGTTCTTTTTACCACAGTAGTTGTTTTATTTTAGCATGTTTTAAAGATATTTATCTTTACTCTAATATGAAAAATACGAGCAAAATCAAGTAAAATTGTACTAGATTTAAAAATATGAGATTTAGACACATTTAAAGATAGTTAATTCACGTTGTTGCCTTCCTTTAAAACTTTTTTTTAACGTTTAGAGGAATGGTAAGACATGAGGAATTGTAGTTTTTTTTAAAAATTTTTTTGCACGACCAATTTTTTAAAATGACAATTTAACAATTTTTATGTTATTATTCTAATTTTTTGTGATTTTTTTGCGGTTTCTTTTAATAATTATTAATAATTATTACTAATTATTAATAATAATTAATTAGTAATAATTACTAATAATAATTTATCAGTAATAATTATTAATAATTATTAATTATAAGTAATTAATAAATATTAATAGTTTTATAATTAATAATTAAATATTAATAATTAATTTTTAAATAATTAATTTTTAAGTAATTAATTATTTAGTAGTTTTTTATTATAATATTTTTAAAAACTATTTCACTTTTGTCTAATATGAAAAATACACGCAAAATTGGGTAAAATTCTTAATGGTAGCTAATTCACGTGGCTGCTTTTTTTTTAAAAATGTTCTTTTTTAAAACACCCCTTTAATGTTTATGCATATGGTAGGGCATAGTTCTTTTTAAAACACTTTTTTATACGTAAGTTAGACATTCAACACTAGAATACTTTTTATAAAAGAATAATGATTAATATAAGCGAAAAACATATTGTACATTTTGTAACATAAAACAGAATTAACAATTTTACCCGTGAAATCCTTTGAAATTTTTTTAACAGTTTCAGTGATTTCTTTTTGTATTGCATGATTATTATTATAAATGAAATTTTATTTATTATAAATAAAATTAGAATCAATGAATATTTTTCTCGTCAAAATTTCATACTTTTCGACCAACAACCTTAATTTTATAATTTAAAATTTTTATATATTGTAATTAGATGCTAATTTATGAAAATGTTAGTTAATTTATGATAAGCTGGAGGTGTAAAAAATAATTTTTAAGTGATTTCGCACTCTTATGATTTCAGATAAGTTTAGTTTCGAAAAACCAGAAAAATGTTGTCAAGTTTTTAGCACTCTGTCAATTTCCAATATATCCTCCATCTATTTTTATAGTGGAAAATATTGTCTTACTGCTCAGTGGATAAAAATTAAGGCATGAGAAATCATATTTTAAAATATTCAAATTTATCCCGATCATTATGTAAATAATCACTATGCGAATTCTTCCAGATCTATTAAAATGTAAGACATAATTGGAATGTTATACAGGTTTTTACTAATAAAATAAGAAAAAATGGAAATGTAGAGAAAATATGCTTTTCCAACACCAATTGTTAGTAAGAGGAGAAGATTAAGAAAAATTAAAAATATCCATTCTTTTTTTTCTAATTTCAAGTAATTTTAAGAATACTTTAAAATGTAAACTTAATATTTCATCATAACCTTTCTTAAAATTTTAAAACTTAACATCTCCTACGTTTTATTTTCTTGAAATGGAACACCTTGTTAGATTGCAACGCCAATATTAAATACAATTACACGTTTTTTTGTATAAAAATATCAAAATTGACACCTTACTTTCATGTTTTCAATTTTTTTTTAATGAAGTAGCAGTTTCACTTTTATATTGTATGTAAAGAAATTAACTTTAGTACAGTACAGTATTTTACAACAGCGCATACAGTGTTTTAAAATTTCATATAAAAATATGGGTATTCTCTTAACTTGTGATCTTCTTTACGGATCAACAGATGGCGCTACTATAGTATAGTTTGATAAATCAGACATTCACCCGTCACATTTTGCGTAAGTTAGCATAATGTGACAAATGTGAACTTTTTTCCGGAGTTAGTGTTAACCTTTTGCACTCCGACTTTAACATGTAGAACTGATATAAACTCTAAAAAATTCAAACTACTTAGTACACTATTCGAATTAACGTTGAGTTTATTCCTTAAGGAATTCGGGAAAAAAAAAATACTATTTAAATTGACAGAAAAAAAAAAGATGATTTATTAATATAATAAGACCCAGCAGAATTCTTTTTGCGTTAAAATTTTTTTATCATAGAATTTTTAAGTTATACAAATTTTGAAGCGAATTTTAATATATTCGTTGTAGAAACTTTTAAAGGAAAATAGATGGTAGAAAGCTTTCACACTAACAAAAAAATAATAATCTTAATGCTATTAATTAACCTGATTACTTCCTTACGAATAACATGAATACTGTATGTAATAATTCAAATAGTATGTAAAATATAATTATTATATTTTACATAAGAATTCATCAATATATTTTAAGGTAGACATTAAGAAAAGATTACTAAGTAAATTTTATTAGAAAGGTCATTGAAAAATAACAAAGCATTAATTAATGAGAAACGAACTACAATACAACATTTAAGTTTTGTTGCTGATAGTTGTTAAATTCTAAAATATCTTAAAAGAATGGATATTTCTTTAAAGAATAAAAATAGACATTGTTAGTTAGATTCCCCCATTTTTCGAATATTTTTTTACCTCCTCTTCTTCAACATCTTCTATTAAAGCCGCTAAAATTTCCTCTTGGTCTAGTTCCTATAAATTCACAAGATAGTTTCGAACAATTGTATAAAGTTTATGTTTTTTTTATCAATTAATTAAATCCATTACATTTTTAGAAAATAAAGATAACAAAATAAACCATACACAGTGATTCAAAGTGTAAAATATCTTAAACATGAAAAAAGCAGCACATACTTCTTTTCCTGTTCTTCCATTTATTTCAGCTTTTTCATCAAGTGTGCCCATTGGATACTAGAAAATTAAAAAAATATATATATATTTGCATAAGCTAACAACAAGTTATAGACTTATTTTAATTCTTATAATAAAAATTAATTACTTTAATGTCCTGTAAAATTGTACAAATAACAAGATTGTTCGAAGCTAGTTACTTTTAATGTTTGCATACATTTCATATTTATATAAGAGTGCGAGAGGGGATTCTAAGCAGCGAAAAAGGCAATTTTTACTATTTTTCAGAGCAAATAGTAAATGCATATTACGTGAGTCGTGGTGGCTCGGAGTATAGAACACTTTCCTCTCAATGAGGTGAACCAGGTTTAACCCCTTTGGGGACGGGTGATTCAGAAAAGCATTCGCACAAAATCAGAATCAAGTTGTAATTGAATAAAAAACAGTAACTTAAATGTAGTCGTTGCTAATTTGACAGACTTACTTCGCTTTTACTTTAATTATTGTTAGTTTAATCATATAATGAATGTTAATTCAAAGTATAACTAAATAGTTTTATTTTGAACAAAGTAATGGTGAATTAAATAAATCAAACAATTGTAACTCCGCCCACAAATAAACTGCTAAAGAAATACTTTGATTACCAGTTTTATCTTTTTACCCTGATTGATACGGTTTTATGCTGTCACGTATTTGTGACAGTCGGCGCGAAAGGGTTAAACCCCAGCGACGACAGATCGATAGGAATTTTGTACTAGGCTCGCACCGACCATTGTGTTTAATGTAATATTCTTATTGATAGGAGAATTATGGGTTAGAGTCCCCTTGCAGTCCGGTTAATCGTAGGAGGTTTTCTCCTTCATGTAGTGCAAATGCTGGCTAGTTTCATCAAAAAGTCCTGCACGAAGGCTAGTTTCTCCCAACACTTGATCCGAGTATTCCCTTGCCTTCTGGGTTGGGTTCAAAATTACAAGGCTACGGAGTTGAACATTGATAGTTGAAAACAAATGTTGATGTGAACTATCAGTTGAATATTGCAGTTTCGAATCTGCATCTCATTGAGAGACAAACAGGAGATATTAGAACATTAAGAGTCTGCTCTAACGCTTAGGAGTCAGATTGCCTTCTGGGTTCGGTTTGACAATGTTTGATATGGATCAATTTTGTTAACACAAACTTAAATGCTTTTTGCAAGCTTCTTTATTGAGTGAAAAAAGTGGTATTGGTAAAAATATTTAGCTTTGCTAACAGCAACCCATTAATGGGTTAAAAGGAAATACTTAATGGCATTTCTTACCGGCTTCAGAATTTTGACGATGAAATATGTCTCCAATCCAGCAGATCTGAGAGCTTCTTCACGAGACATTCCATCACCAGGTGATACTTCGAATTCTCCGTTTAAGAATCCAAGTGTTTTCTCTGAGATATGCACTCGTCTGCAAAATTAGAATATGTACAAATGCACTCGTCTGCAAAATTAGAATATGTACAAATTTTTAAACAACTAATTATTTAATTAAGAAACTTGCTTTTAAGCGAAATAATTATCCTGTTAAGGAAAACTGAAATATACCATCACCTCCTACTTAAAAAGGTCGCCACACGGTTTTTTATAGTCTGTGTAGACTATTTAAAAAGTGAACCGGTTGTGCGCATGAATGCAAACTCTATTTTAAAAGTTTGGTTTATTGATACAACATACATTTGCAGGCTTGTGTACTCAATTAAGGAAGTTGATTTTTGTGTCTGATTTCGTAACTTAAATTATCGTTTGTACTAATTAATTTGGCATATTTGAGGTCCCCCCCCTTAAATCATTAAGAATGAATTCTAGAAAGTAAGAATCCGATCATTAAATCAAAAGTTATTCAGAGTGATCCGTTTTTTATTTTGCGTACTGTACACTGCCGTTATTCCAGTTGTCCTAGGACTTAAGCACTTATGAAGATGTGAAGTGTCCGCTCGGCGGAAAAGAACATCGTATACAGCCTCAGTCTAACTATCTGAAGCATTGCAAATCATTTTCTTTATAGTGGAAGTGGAGTAAAGAAGAATTTTTTGAAACAGAATTCTATTCTACTGCTAATGCTGTGAGCGCTAAAATAGAATTTCACAAAATTCATAAAACAAAACATAATTTTGAAAAAAAAAAACTTTACTTTTAAAATTAACATTAATTATCCTTTTATATGACTCATCTCTGTTAACTAGTACCCCTAAATACATTCAGACTAGATCAGGAAGAGAGGGATATCTGTTTAATTTGAAACGCCCACCCAAGGGCCAGAATTATTATCAGCTTTCCATAATTAGGTTACATTGAAACTCAATTATCACTAATTATATAATTGCTTTCCACATTTGAGGAATCTGCGGATTATTTGCACCATTATTTCATTATATTACTTCTCATTAATTGACTGATTAACTAATTAATTACTATTATGAAGAAAAAAATAAAAATTTACAAAAGTACAAAATATCTAAAGATTATTTTTGAAATTGTGTATACATTTCTTTTATGCAATTCTCACTATCATTAACTTCAATGATATTTATTAATCTTCGTGTATCTAAATGTTTCCAAGACAACAGGGTAAAGACCAAAATACAAAGAAATCTAAAGATTATTTTTGAAATTGTGTATACATTTCTTTCTTCACTATAACTAACTTCGATAATCCTAATCTTCGTGTATTCAAATGTGTTTAAGACAACAGGGATTTACATAAGTACAAAAATATTAAAGGATTTTTTTTTTGTCATCGTGCATACATTTCTTTCTTTTTTTCTTTCTCACTACCACTAATTTCACAATGATCTTTATTAAACTTCGAAGTCCCGCAGTGGGCTGATCGTTAAGACACGGTTTCCAGCAGATCACCAAAGTCAAGCATCACTGACTATGGTCAGTGTACGGGTGGGTGACCACTTGGATCAGTCTGTTTAGGGACCGAGGGTGTGCGGTATTGGTCCTCGTTAAACTCTGCTACCGTAAAGTGTTCGACTTCGCGTGCAGGTCGTCGGGCTACCGAAGCGGGGGTGCCATCCCCTCTGCAGAGGATCAAAATTGTGATGGCATGTCTTTGGATCATCCTCAGGGATGTTTCCCAGACCGTCGCCAATAGCCATTTGTGCATCTCGAGTGCGACGTAAATAAACTACAACTATTACTACTACTACTTAAACTTCGAACACGTAAACTTCTTCAAGACAACAGAAATTGTATAAAACAAGAGGTTGGTGTCAAACGAGGTAATCTTTGAACGAAATTAAGTTTCCACTGATATTTTTATAGTGAGAAATCTGAAAAAAATAAGCCTTATTTTGCTACATTTATAACTTAACATGGAGGAATATAGAACTTAACATGGGGGGGGGGGATATAGAACTTTTTAATAACGCTTTGTCATAAAGTGTCCTATTGCACCTTATCCCCTTGTCACGCTTCATTGATAAACATAAATTGGCAATTCAGGAACAAAGCACTGGTTTAAAATTTATTTAATATTTTTTTATTTTAAGTTTTATGTGTTTTAATGACATTTGTCAATAGCAACAATAATGGTTTGATGCTTGGGTACTAATTTCGACGAAAATTATGAATTTTTTAATCTGTCGATTTGAAATGTTTTAAGGAATGCGATTGAGCGAAATTCGGCAATTTCGACGAAAATTTCGATTTTTTTTTCACTATCCATGTTTAACCCTTTCGCGCCGACTGTCACAAATACGTGACAGCAAAAAACCGTATCAATCAGGGTAAGAAGATAAAACTGGTAATCAAAGTATTTCTTTAGCAGTTTATTTGTAGGCGGAGATATAATTTTTTGATTTATTTAATTCACCATTACTTTGTTTAAAATAAAACTATTTAGTTATACTTTGAATTAACATTGATTATATATATGATTAAACTAACAACAATTAAAATAAAAGCAAAGTAAGTCTGTCAAATTAGTAACGACTACATTTAAGTTACCGTTTTTTATTTAATTGCATCTTGATTCTGATTTTGTACGAATGCTTTTCTGAATCACCCGTCCCCAAGGGGTTAAACTTCAGCTCATTAGCTTTTCAAAACCCTTTAAAATTTTTAACTCCAAATTAATTCTATTTCACTACTTTTTAAATTTTTTTTAAAGATTTTAGTTCAAAACACAGGTAATCATATTATTGATCTAAAAAATAATTCATTTTGAAATTTATGCATTGTAGAGCTGTTAGCGTGACTTGAAAATTTTGTAGTTTTTAAGCTTAAATTTGCCTTTATCTTGAAAAATACTTTATAAATTTTTAAACTTTACTTTAAATTAATATATTGAAGATACTTGCTTAATAAACATAAAATTAAAATTTTAATTGAGACTTTAAAAAAAAACCTGCATCGAAACCATTCGGATACTTTAATTTGAGTCAAAATGCGTATTTGGTCATTCTTCTTGATATCCTTTTCCACCACTTGGTTACTAACAGTAACAATTTTAAGATCTTCCACTAGCTTTCTAGATTTCAGTATCTTCCACAAGATCTTCCACTAGATTTCAGTAGCTTGAAGTCCTTTAAGCTGATTATGTCTTCGGTAGTTTAAGTAAATAAAAACCGTATTTCGCTGCATTTGTTCTAAATTTGGAACCAGTGTTTTTATTGAGTGTTATAACCAAGTTCATTAGTAGTGAAATAAATTTAAATCTGCTAAATGATTCCTAAATATATTTAGAACAAATTTTAGCATAAATATCGAATAAGTGTTCGTTTTATCCGAGCCCTAAGGAGGCTTAACATTAAAATAAAGCTGTTTTGAAAAATGTGTAATGACTGCCTCAGTAATTTATATATTTCGGATATGGTGAAACCAATATTAGCGCAGTCGCAAAAAATAAAATGTCATCAAGAGTTCGCAAATTATTTGAAAAATGCTTTTAAATTTTCTCAAGATATTTCCAAATATAGATCGCAATTATATTGAAAAAGTGGCAAAATTTAAGGCAATGACTAAAATTATAATTAAGTCTTAACACATTGCTGACCGGCAACATTTCTGAAAATTACCACATGTGCCCGGCTATTGTTTTGAAAGCGGATGTGGAAGTAAAAGAATATAAATAAACTTTAAAAAAATTTAATTTTTAATGCCGTATGATAAAAAGTATAACTATCACCTACGTGTAATGGTACACCACAAATTTTGCAAATATTTCAGGTTTCGTGAAGTTATAATAAATTGGTATAGAATTAAATAGTAAAACTTGAAAAGTAAGGAATATTACGCCCACTTTTTAAAATAGTCACCACGATATCACTGCTAACGAAAACACGAGTTAACTCGTGCCCGGTCACCAACGTTTGGCCACGAAAACACGAGTTAACTCGTGACCGGTCAGCAATGTGTTAAGATCTCTGCTAGTAATTTTTTTCTGAATAGCTGGCATAGACACTTGCATTAATAAAAAGAATTGGATATTAAAATAATTAATTTTTTTTTCAAAATTAATATTTCCCATTGTCATAGAATGTTTCTAATATTAAAAAGATGGATAATCCACCTTTAATTTTCCAAATTTTTTAAAAATATTTCGCATTATCTGAGAAAAAAATGCAATATTAAAGTAAAACTTAATCCACATGCAGTTTTGAATTTTTAAAAAAATTGTTTTGAATTATCGGATAATAATTCTAATAATATAATATGCAGGTTACTAAAAACTTTCGAAATGTTTTGGAATATCTAAGAAATGACACTAATATGGAAATAATTAACAATCCACTTGCAGCTTTAATAAAAAATTGAAATGCTTTGGATTATCTAAGAATTACTCTAATAAAATTATCTGCAATCCACGTGCAGTTTTTTTAAAAATAAGCTTTGAGATGTTTTCAAATATCTAAGAATGACACTAATATTGAAACAATTGACAATTCACATGCAGTTTCTAAATTTTTTTGGAAATGTTTTGGATTATCTAAGAATGATTTTAATAATGAAATGCTTGAAAATTCACTTGCGATTTTGAAAGAAATTTTTGAAATGCTTTAAATACACATTTTCTGCTTAAAGAAATAGTTACTAGATTTTACTTAATACACTTTCTAACTTTCAATTCAAGATTAATTTAAAAGAATTAAAAATAAGAGAGAACAATGAATAAAAACAAGAAAAAAATATTTTTTGAAAATTCTGTAATTTTTCAAATAGTTTAGAAAAGACTATACCATTTTCCAGAAAAAAAGCAGTTGATACTATTTGCAGAATAAGCTGAGTGCTATATGTATGTGTATATCAAACAAAGAAAAAAAGTTTTACACAGTATCTTTCTTGCCTTTATTCTACTTTTTTTTTCGAATTTAGAAGAGAGGGGGGAAAAATTGCAGACGATTCTCAAAGGTGAAAGCGGAAGAAAGGGAAAATAGCAGATAAGCCAAAACGGAAATTGCCAGGTTCGCCGTTCGATTACTCTAGAAAAAAAAATTCTTCTATTTTCAATTTTGTAGCCATTTTCATTTTCCCTCACACCAGCCAAACTTGTCAGAAGGATAGAATGGAAAGGAAATTTTAGATGAATAATTTTTTTTATTTTTTATCTTCCAATTCCGCCATTTCTATGAATATTTTCATGAATATCATCTGCGAAATATAATTCTTCTCTCATTTCAAAATCGAAAAGGGGAAAATGATCAAATAATTTAATTTAAATAATTTATTCAAAAAAAGTGAAGATAAAAAAAAGGAATACTTAAAATTTTCAACATTTGAAAACAATAAAAGGTATTGCATTGACTACTCAGAAAAAAATAAGATACAATTTTAACAGAAATAGTATCGTTTGGCAATAGGAGTAGCTAAAACTGAGAGGCAATAAATTAAACATTGTGATATTTAATTTGAAATAGAATTGATAACAGAAACATTTTTATAAAAGTAATATCGTTTGGCAAAGAGTAACTAAAACTAATTTAGAATAAACAATGTGTAACAAATTTTCAAAAAGTTCTTTTCTGGTTTAACTGCGTTAGTTTCCGTTTAATTGAAACGCAAGTAATGCAAAAAGAATACAGTTATACTCCAAAAACGTCGTTTTTGTAGTGATCATAGTGGCAGAAGACACCTCCTTCTAGCCATTTTGTAGAGTTTAATGAATTAAACCAACTTTAATCAACTTTTAAACTAACTAAGCAACTTTTGCACGAAAATTCGCGCCAAACGATAAAATAACTTACAGAGAAAATAGAACACTCTTACACTTTAAACTATCAAGAAATTGGGAAGAAAAAAAAACGGTGGAAACTTACAAGGGAAACTAGAGAAGTGTGACTCGCTAATTTTGAAATAAACTAGTGGGATGTATGCCTTATGAGGAATAATTTTAGGGGGCAACATTCGTTTCGGCCCATAGAAGGTCCTGTGAGCGATAAAAAATAATTCAATATATAGAAAAATCGGTATTTTATTACTTCAATGCAGACTATTAGTTATTGTAATT